GTGAGAGTGTGTGTGTGTGTGTGTGTGTGTGTGTGTGTGTGTGGGCTGCCGGGTCACAAACACACACTCTCTCATCTTGTTGTAGATGTGTAATCTCACAGGAATGCTCACGCCCTGCTCTTAAAACCAACATGACTCCAATTAAACTGTCAGCGTTTGATATCTGAACTAAAGCTCATATGTTTTATTGAATAAGTTGCATTCTGATGTTTGGAAACGTCTAGATCACATTCCCAAAAGAAAAACATCAATCCCATTTTGAGGAATCTGAGCCGTCACGTTCTCCTCGTCTCTCTGTGTGAAGCTTTCTCATGCTGAATGCCGCAGGATCTCATTACTCTCTGTTTCTCTGTGAGTCCGTAACGGATCTCTCCTCTCAGAGCCGCTTCTGTGCTGCGTCTCGAGGGAGTCGCACGCAAACCCAGTGACTTTAATGACTTTTCTCCTGTTCACACGACTCCCTTCAGTCATTCTGAATGTGTTTTCTCTTCACACTGCTGCATTTAATGCATTAATCAGTGATCAATGAATGTTTGTCCTAGAATCCAGAGGATCTGTGATGTGGACGGCCTCACTAAACTTGACGTTCTGGACTTACATAATAATCAGGTACAGATTCTCAGGCAATATTTCATATGATTTTATTATTATCAGACACTGACAGCTGCTGCCTTGAGGTGCAAATTCAGTTAGATGTGTCTAATTAACTATTCTCTACCATTACAGTCAGTGTGAAATAACATGCAAATAAAATGGAAATAACATGCATTTTTAAAATGCATGTAAAAGATCATCTTATGAACAATTCGTCCATGCATATGTTATTTTAAAACTTTTTTGACATTGTAATGTTTAATCAAAACATCATAACTGGATCTTCCACTCTGTGGTGATGTATGTAGGATTTTTCCAATCAATTTATGCTCTTAAGCTCCGCCCCTGCAGCTCATTTCCATATGCATTTAAGAGCCACGCCCACATCTCAGCATCCAATCAACAACCAAAGCACAGAACCAAGTCCCGCCCTACATTTATTCATCTCTTACACTCGAATGTGTCACAATATGGAAGAAAAGATCTCACTACTTCCATTTCATCATGACTTTAACATGAGTATTCATTTTTAAACCCATCAAATGTCAAAGCTGTGCAAATATTTCAGTTCATGTATTATGTAAATGAAAAACATCTAATTAATTTTGACCTTATGAGGTTGACCAACAGCATTTTTAAGGTTAATCACATCGTGTCACTGAAGAAAGTCATATTTTGAACTCTATTCATGTAAAGCAGCAGTGTTAATGACATTTTTGTTGCGATTGTGGAGGCGGATGCTGATTGGTTGATTGGTGCTGTGCATAAGTAGCTCCGCCTCCTCACTGCTGTGAGTAATCCATCACAAACCCTCATCAGGAGAGGAGATGCAGGGTGTTTTTGAGGCAGATTGCTCATTTCCAGCATCAGTCTGTCATTTATTTCCCACGTCAGTCTATTTTAATCATGTTAAGTGCTGGTTTGGGTGCTTTCTGTCAGCTGTTGGACTTGTATGCGTGGTTTATCAACTCATTGCTTTTGAAGAACAACAATTTGTGGCTCTAAGTTTCTTTTGGTGGTTTGGATGTCGTGATGACAGATGCGTACGTGCGTGTGTGTGTGTGCGCGCGCATGTGTTTTGTGTCTTTTGGACACTGATAATGAGATGAAGGTCTGTGGTTACAGGCTCATGTCAGACTGATGTTGATGCATCAAATGTGTTGCTTAATGAATTCGACACATGACATTGTTTTTCTTTACTACTGTATGTAAACCACAGTAAACATCTTTGATGGTGCACATCAGAAGTCTACACCAAAATATGCTTCCACTGAAATACCATACTTAAACATGAAGATAATAGATTTTTATAGTCATTTTAAGGTGTCCATCAAAAGTTTACTGGGTTGGTAAGATTTTTTAATGTTTTGAAAGAGTCTCTTCTTCTCACAAACGTTGCATTTGTTTGATCAAAAATACAATACAAAATTTTGAAATATTATTATAATTTAAAATAACTATTTTCTATGTGAATATATGTTAATATGTAATTTATTCCCGTGATCAAAGCTGTATTTTCAGCATCATTTCTCCAGTCTTCAGTGTCACATGATCTTCAGAAATCATTCTAATATGCTGATTTGCTGCTCAAGAAACATTTCTGAGTATTATCAATGTTGAAAACAGTTGTGCTGCACAATACTTTTGTGGAAACCGTGATACATTTTGTTTTTCAGGATTCACAGATGAACAGAAAGTTCAGAAGAACAGCATTTATTTGAAATAGAAATCTTTTGTAACATTATAAATGTCTTTATCATCACTTTTGATCA